GGGAATCCATTGACTGATATGCTGAACAGCATGGGAGGAAAAAAGCCTAGGTTTAGGTTTGCTCTATAACGCAAGCCAATTCCTTTCATCGCAGCATTCCATTCAGTCTCAAATTCATTGATGACACCGGTGAGCCTTGAACAAACGAACAAATGTCTACATGAAACTCCTTCAATTGCAAATTCCCTTAGCATATAAGAATTTCCAAAAAAAAAGTCGAGACTCCGTAGGGCAATGCAAACGGGAGATATTACATGGGGGCCATTCTGGCTCTGGCCGTGTAGGAAATCGATAGAGCCATAGGGTTTATATATGTGGTAGCATTTTTTTTACTTTCAATGACAAGTACATTACACTGATAAAAAATTGAGGTTTTCACAAAATGGCTAACATACCTTTGCCATCGAAAGGAAACGCGTCCTGATGTCTACCTCGCTCGAAACCGATGACAATATTTGCCGGAGGTTTTTTCACTTCTTCGAATCGAACATTGGAAACCGAACTCCATTCGTGAAAGGCCCGATGAAGTGTTGCCCTAAAAACTGCGAAGGGTTATGGGGTAAGTCTACCATAGAAGTTTCTGCTCCATTGGGTGTTGTAAACATAATATTTATAGATCCTTCAGCTTTCGAGGACGAGGCACCACCAGATGTTCGTGCTGGCATGAACCGATTACAGATTGTCAAACGGGTCTATCAAGCTATCATCGGAGTTCAAATTGAACCTTCTCTCTGGGAGCTACCCGAACATAGCTTTCCGACTGCTGGAGCATTTTCTGTGCAAGAACATCTGCGACAGCGACATTTCGTCAAAAATAGGCGGGCTGAGCATGCTCAGAGCATGAGTTGAGCACCAAGAAGTCCTTCATTCATAGATGAAATTCTCCTCATCAGTTACGCATAGGTGCACAAGTTCATTGAGGTTGGCCTAGGAAGATCGGCTTCTGTTTCTCGTCCCTATCTCCTTTTTCCATGACATTTTCCAGAGATAAGCAATTGAAAAACGAACTCCATCGATGCAAACAGCATGAAGTCTATACGATTGCTGGCCGATTTACTGGTAACTTTTACTCAGAATTACCTTCGATCTTCACTTTGCTTTGTAATAGAATCTAACAAGAACTAATACTAAATGACGGCGATAGTTGGAAAAAGGGGGCCTCTATGGCGGGTTGCGACACCGAGAGATAGGCAACAGAGGAGTAGCTTTCTTCGGTGGCTTTAATTTTATTTGAAATATGAAAACTTTCCACATGTTCTGAATGAAAGCCAACAACCCTCACTTTTGCCGCTACGATTCAGTTCCAGTATTAAATAACAGGAATATTATTCTATATTGTTCAATGAAAATCGTCAAATCATGGTAAAGACACCTTTGGAAACTAAAGAAATGGATTTGGAAATGGACCTCATACACCTAAAAAACACCATCATGATTTTGCTCGCACGGCGGGAATACGAGTAGAGCAGAAAAGCTGGAAGTTGGGAAATCGGCCTTCTTATATAAGAATAATACCCTCCAGAATCCAGCGTAGCAGTGTAATGCGTTGGACAAGAACAGATCCCTGATGGAAAAGTAGTGGTTTCGTCCCCATGCGAGAACGAACATGTTACCAGCAACTCCACACCCTTGAGGTGAAATTCCTAGAAGCGATGAAGAACATCTGCTTGTGGTCAGACGACGAAGGTCGTAAGCATAGCAGGAGCAGAATGAGGATCAAGGACTAGAGTGGGCTTGAGCAAAGGTGTGCCTAATTATTGGGGACGCCAGGTGAAGAAGCCTTGGTTATCGTCAGGAACTCATATCGTTTGCCCTCAGTATTTACTGAGGCTTGTTATCATCCTGGAGTTGTAATCCGATCATTCGATACCGGCAGTGAACCGTAGAGATGAAACTCGACAGTTGTTCAGAATATAAAGAAAAGTGATGATCTGATCTTAATTTACAAAGTGCTAGCCATAAGAACTTTTCAACTGACTTTTTTCCCCAGCTTCCCAAACTGTAATGCTTAGAAAAGAACGGAAAAATGAGTAGGAGTAAATAGAGACTCATAAAGAGTACGAGTCTTTGGAGATCAACCCTGAGTTGTTGAAATGTTTTAAGCAATTTCGAGTGATAAGCCCAATTCTTACGAAAGCTCGTTTTCAACTCAAGACAGATTTTCTCATTTAAAATGAAATTTATGGCGTAACGCAGTTTCTAATAGCCGATTTCTTCATTTTACGTACTGGATGGTTCGGTTTCAAAAAACCGTACAAGCGATTGCAGCAGACGTCGACAACCGTTCTCAAGCATGAACCTACTACAGCAAGTTTCCTGCAGCTTCGTTCTTTACAAGTGGCATCGATTTAGGATTAGTCTCTCGAACTGAGACGATGTACATCCGCAAAGCCTTGAATACCAGTTCAGTTCCTAACTTCTTTTTCCTTCCTTATCAGCCAATTTCAATGCGATTCTTGCTGAAATGGGCAGGCGTTCCCAAATTGCTTCAACTAATGATTGATGTCGGTAATAGAACGATATGAAACGCTTGGTTCACTTGCGTAATGAGTTTGTGAATCCGTAAAGGTTGTCTGGAAGTAAGAAAGATGGGATTGAATGGAACAAGAACTCCCCAAAAAAATCTACAGAAAGAAAGACGAGGAGACAGAACAGAAAACTTCGAGGGCATGGAGTGACGTCGTTGGAAGCCAACTATTATAGTTTGAGAGTACTCTTGAAACCCTAAAATGATTCTTTTGCGCCATCAAACTTGTAGCTGTAGCTCAATCCGAGGGAACACTGTAATGCTCGGTCCAACTCAAAAAAAGCCATTTTGGTTAATGTAAGCCGGTTGCCTAACACGAGCTAATAGTAATTAGAGTGTGGAGTGAGTCGATTCTACGGTATATTCGATTTTCAAAGGAGCTTAACCTCTTCAAGCAAATTGGACCACAAAATCCGATGATAACGCTCTACAAAGTAAGTCCTAAAACCTGATAAGCTCCATTCTTAGGTATACACTCGTATGAAGATGTTTTGTACAATTTAAAGAAGATTCGATGAGATTTCAGACGGTACTCTGCAGAACTCGGGGCCATCCAAGTAAGCGTTTCCTCTGTTGTGGAGCTCTCCTAACGTGGCATGTTCGTTGGAAACTAACACCCTATCTCTTCATCAAACCAAATCATACAGCTCTATTGTATGCTGTTGATCTCCCAGGAAGATAACGATCCAACGACATCCAAAGCATCCCTATGGCTTGTTTCTGTTTTAGCCTCATATTCTTAGTCAAACTCGGAGTCTCAGGCAGCAGCGTTCTATTAATGCGATCATTACGATATGGGTGACGGCTTCGATGGTTCAGGACCACTTTCCAGAGGGGCTGGCATTTTATAGAGTGGCCCTTACCTTTTTGAACCTAAACCGTGGGCTGATCATGTGAACTTCACGCCATCGTTCCAGCACTTTGGAAATGAAGAAACTAGGGATGGAAACGTGAATTAAACGAAATTCTTATCAGGACGGAATTGTGTTACTGAACAGCATTTGTTCTGGGGAATCCAACTGTATACATTACACCAGTGCAATTAGATTTTCAAGGAAATAAAAGGTAGTTCGTACAGAACATCCACCAAAACACGTGCTGAAATTTAGGGCAATAATGTACCGGAGACGCTCGCTGTAATCAAGCCTGCCCCGGAGTTCCTGCCGGGTGTGGTGCGATTCACGCGCCAATATAATCTGCCTTCTCAAGGCTCTTAAAGAATTCTCCAGTAAACTGAACTTCAGGAAACATAGCTTTACTTCGACGAATTATAAGTAACAAAAAACAGGGGTTTGCAAAAATATGCCTGAATTAGGAATCCTTACTGACCGTACTGTATATTGCTGACACTAATGATCGGTCATGCATGTTTTTCAACAGCTGTCTTTTCTATAGCCGACCCCAAATAACCAAGGTCAAAGGTTGAAAAGAAAAACCAGGAGGAGAAGGTGCCCGGGGCCTGGCTTTAGCGGAGTTGTCACAATTTGCAAGTTCGTATCATGAGAAAAGGGAACGTAACGGTGACAGAGCTACAAAGAGAAAGATCAGATTCCATGGGGGTAGTACGGGGTGAAAGCTGCACGAGCTCGCCATACCCAAATCCGCCTACAAACACATGTAAAAGAATTGATAGGAAAAATTAAAATGATTAGGAGCTGAGGCAGACATTTAATGTGTATAACAAGGTTGACAAGTTATGGATAAAACTTTGGCTTCGGACGGGACTCGGACCCGCACTTGCGCTATTTCCCCCCTTTTCCGGAACCGCGCTCTTTTCCCTTACACTACCAAGACCCCGCTTGCCCTCGCCTTCTTAGTGGCCTATCTGCCATAGCTTCGCAGCATTCACACATACAACGTGTTAAGCCGCTCTGTCGTGAATCAAATCGTTAAGTTTCCCTGTTATTACTTGTTCAAACTTGATCTTTTGTTAGCTGCCGTTACTTCTTCGCGAAACATTTAGATTGTGTTGTGCGGTGACGTAATAGCAGGTAATAAAACATCAAGTCAAAACAGGTTATATCAAGTAAAGCTTACATGGCTGAGTGGCTCAACACGTTCTTCTGGGAATGCCGCCGATAAGCTAAGCATATAAGCCATTAGGAAGAAGAGCGTTCGCCAGGTGTTGGTAATGTGAGGAATGGGAGCATGGTGCCTAGTTAGCACAAGAACGAGTTCGAGTCCTGTCCGAGGTTGAAGTTTTGCCCATAACTCGCCAACCTTGCGGGACTTTTGTATCGCGGCGAATTAACAGCAGTTGACAAAGCATTAAGTCAAAACAAATTAACGTGTCGTTTGCGTGATGTTACTGAGGAGGCCCAGTCCATATGTCCGCTTCCAAGTTGCGGTCAGAACTTCAAAACCCTCTATGCACATATCAAAAAACAATTGTCTTCGTGAGTTGTTGTAAAACGGCACACCTTGCGAAACGGAACCACACAGGACTGTGCTGACCTGCCTGAGCACCACAAATCGACGGGAATGCGTCAGACCAGTTTTTCGAGGTGAAACTTTGATAGCAAATTAACCTAGTTAGTGTTTTCTTTTGCACTTTGTCGCAGAGTGAACGCAATTGAGTAGGAAATGCGGAGGACACTATGCTTCCCACATGCTTGTGTCTAGAATGAGAGACGGCACTCGACATCATATCAACTTGTTTTGAAAGATATCATATTTCTAAAGGAAAAACATGTGAAAGACAATTACAAAAGACAGTTTTAGTAACTACAAGAGACACTGTTTGTTGGCTATTAGTATAGCTACGGTATTTCTTGAAAAGGAGCTTTTTTTCTCCCAACAATTCATCTTTTTAACCATGTTATTGTTTCAGTTCTTATACATCCTTCTCGACTAATGCAAATCGTAAAGAGTGTAGCAAACTCTGGCTCTTTGTACGATAACGATGATTACTAGGTGATGNAAGAGACACTGTTTGTTGGCTATTCGTATAGCTACGGTATTTCTTGAAAAGGAGCTTTTTTTCTCCGAACAATTCATTTTTTTAATCATGTTATTGTTTCAGTTCTTATACATCCTTCTCGACTAATGCGAATCGTAAAGAGTGTAGCAAACTCTGGCTCTTTGTACGATAACGATGATTACTAGGTGATGGTGTATTGGCAAGTGCAGCGCTAACACACGCATGCTTACGGGTTCGCATCCCGAATCAATATCCACCTATGCCAACCAACTCTTCGGGTCGCTATTGGTACCAGACGTGCCTGGGAGGATAAAAGTACTGACTCAGGTGACATGACTGACTAACGCAAGTCGTTGCACAGGCCACAAACCCATTCAATACATCACTACCATTCTGAATTGG